TATTTGGTAACTTGTTCCATTCATCCATTACTCTGTTTCCAAACCAGTGTTTACCTATTTCACGCCTAAATCTAAATTTGTCTAATTTGAAACCATTGTTACGAGTTCGCTCCTGGTTGGATAGTTTGAGTACCTTTGTAATGTCCCCTTTGTTTAGCCCTGACTTCCACTTATACACCTCTATCAGGTCGCCCCTCGCTCTACGTCTCTCGAGGGAGTGCAAATTAAGATGCTTTAACCTGTCTCTAAACTCAAGGTTCCTAATGCCCGGGATTAGTCTTGTCATTTGATGTGGTCCTTTTTTTTTAAGAACCTTCAGAGCTCAATAAGATTTTTTTGCCAAGATTCATTGCCTCTTGGTTGGGATGTTTCTTTGTTTTTACTATTTCTTTAACCCGTGATTACGATAGCGTAACCTTCTGTGTACAGGGTCATCTTACTCAATGGAATAAGTTACTGTATTCAATAGATTAAGTTATCGCATTGAAGGCATTTAGTTATTGCACTCTAGGAGTTAAGTTTTCGTACTCAAGAGGTTAAGATATCATAGTTTGTTAGTTTATGGCACTCAGGGGGCTATCGTACTCAGGCGATTAAACTGCTAGAACGACAGGAAAACTAAACACTAAGCAATCATTACAATATTTAGTTCAAACTGAAATCATTTAAATTAGGAGATGATCAAGAGTCTCTAGCTCTCCTCTGAAGTATTTAGCAGGTGTCTTATAGTATTTTTTCATTAATAGAGTAGATGTATACCAGCAATACACCGATAGCAATTACCAGTCAATACATTCTACACGAAAATTTTACCATCATCTTCACTCTGTTAAAACGACAACTTCCTTGACTAGAGACTCGGTCGAGGCCAAGGTTTCTCGAGTGTGTAAGCGCCAAGACCCCGCTAGATGTGGATAGTATATTGATCTTCTGTTATTATGTCGTAAATGCTCATAATATGCATGTGATGTTCTATTATAGCGTATTTTTGCTCAATTTAGCGGTGCAAATTTGAACTCGAAGTAACTCAAATGACATTGGGTACGTGAGCGTCATGAACTTTGCCTTGTGGTGGGGTGGTTTCCTCTTGCCCAGTCTTCCCCGCCCCCCACTGCCCGGGAAGCTAAATAATCAAACATGTGGGTGCAATTAGCAAAACCACTCGAGGAATGATATGACGATGCTAGTGCACACGAGATGGCGGGTCACCTACACTGTCTCAAATGTGCCCAATACTATGACCTGATTTATACCGCATTTAATGATTTTTTAGCCATTAAGGAAGGCTCATTTACCACGTGTCCCATGTTTATTTGTTGATTTTTTTTCCCCAGGTTGATTGTCACTGCCAATTATCATTCCCCGTTAGCTTGCGTGTGCACATTATACCAAGCGGGGTGTGGGCAGGTGTGAGGCGCTTGCGATCCCCGCGAGGCTGGTCCCCTATAGCGTCTTGGTGCGGGCGTCTCACTGGTACCTCAACCCCGTCACCTGCCCGCTTGTAAACCTGGCAGGCTGGCTTCCTCCCCTCCCTACCAACCTACTCTTAAAATTTTGGTTTAAATCACCTTCAATGTCGTTGAAAAAAAATACGGTACTGAGTAAAGAATTTAATTAGGAAAATATACGGCATTATTGATAAGCATATTTGGGCATCAGTGACACGTGGTTCTGATTATTACTCAGGTATATTTGACTCAGGTTAATTTACATATCAGCAGTGGTAGTAAGAGTGAATGAAGGTTTTAAAGTAGTACCCAGATACATTAGTTGATTGTTGCTTTGAGTGTGTATGTACCTTGGTAACTGTAACCCACTCCTGCCAGGTTCACACAAGCTGGAACAAAACTTACCTATAAGAACTGAACACTTCACTGCTTGTTACTGCCCTACGTGTGCCCTCGCTTGACCCTGTGCTCCTTCGTTTTATCAGCATGTCTATAAGTATCGTTTTTACCCTCAACGTTAAAAAAAAAAAAAAAAAAAAAAAACATTTATAGGTCGGAAAATAAGTCACCATGATATTAATGTTACCTTACGTGAACACCATGAATAAACAGTAACAAAAATGGAGAAAAAATACGAATGAAAAGAGGAATATATTTTTCTAGACGTAGGGATGGTCAGAGCGAGTAAGGAGCATACATAAAGCAACCTTCAGGAGTAATATATGTTGTACCGATGAGTTATATTCTGTGTCAGGTTAGCGAGAGGTTTAATAGTAGTGTGGAGGCGCTGGTGTGAGTCAGTGACCACGAGGACACAAGAGACCAGCCACCTCACATCCCCGAGGACACAAGAGACCAGCCACCTCACATCCCCGAGGACACAAGAGACCAGCCACCTCACATCCCCGAGGACACAAGAGACCAGCCACCTCACATCCCCGAGGACACAAGAGACCAGACACCTCACATCCCCGAGGACACAAGAGACCAGCCACCTCACATCCCCGAGGACACAAGAGACCAGCCACCTCACATCCACGAGGACAGAGGGTAGGTAAGCCAGGCCTCGTCACAGCAGTGCCCCACACGCAGTATGGTTCCCACCGACACTTTGCTTCTTAACCGGGAGTAAACCATAGAGAGGAAGAACTGATACTGATGATGCGTTATACCGGCACAGGGTCAAAGCGGATCTTCGGTAATCTAGTGGAGTGTTTAGCAACTACAGTAGAATTGACAATAACGTAAATAATAAAAAAAAAAATATATATTCTATTCAAGTCTTGCGTTGTGCATAAGTGAGGTAACACAGGTTTTGACATAACAGAAGCAGTGATTAGGTCAAGCCAGGCAACAAACTACATTGACAGTTTTCATGGACAGTTATTTCATCATACACTTAACAAGCATGCGTAACAGGCGTCGAAAATATCACATATATGTAGGCCAGAGTTCATCGTTTCACATATATTAATTGCTGTGAATATTAATTGAATTAAGTTGGCATGCAAGAAGAGGAAAAATTCTAAATTATATAAGAATTCATTACAAAAAATGGCTGTCGTTGATGATTATCGTAAATGTTCAAGAATAACAACAACAACAAGGGGAGGTAGTACCCTGACACCTTGGTTAGCTTCACCTTGGCCGCCGTCAGCACACCTCTTCACACAGTTCCTCCCGCCATTACTGACACCATCACACTCACCTTAAGGCATTACCAACTAGAATGGTTGCTTGATATATTCAAGCAATTATTTCTTTATAATATGCAACATCTTGTAACATATGTTCATGAATGATAAGCTCAAGCTTTTTTTCTCGAGTCATACGGAATTTAAATTGGTTTACAGTGAGTCAGTCTCAAAGAACAGTAATGTTTTTGTGATTGTTGATGTATTCGATAATTACGCGTTACGGTTTGGCAGGACCTGCCTATAATGGAAAAGGGAACACCCACATTACAAGGATACAAATGCGAAGTAAATTTAGACTTAAAAAATTTAGATTTTACATGTAAAATGGCGCATCGAAACTGTGAAGGAAAGTGGACGGTGTTGATAGGACGGCCAAGGTTCTGTCACGAAGGTCAACTACATGTTGTAAGTAATTCATGATCCGTCAGGGTGCAATAACAAAGATGGAACGAAACATCGTCTCCTATAGAAGGTGACCCCGAGCCAGGGGACGCCTCCATTGTTCCACCACACCCGCAAATCTCTCAGTGATGCTCTTTATTACAGAATACAGTGCCACCAACAGCGCCCCCAAGGTAGTGGCCCACTCAAGCCTGAACACTTGAATACGTAGGTGTTTAAGTCAACGAAATTTGGGTGGGACAAGGGGTGTGCTGGCTAAGTGGATACAGCACTTGCCTCTTGCTTATCCGGTTGTAATTGGGTGCCTAACTTTACAACTGGGGAATGTGGGGTGCCGGACACACTGCCTTCTTGTGTACCGACTGGAAAAAAAACTTAGTCAACAGTGTGCTGTATCCACACTGCCTCTAAAAGACCCACTTTCAGGGAACAAGGTCAACCGGAAACACCACGCGATTATCATCAGCTTCTCTACCTTGGCCGCCACTGACTGTCGTCTAAGTGACTTAATTCATTACTGAACACGGTATTAAAAATAGTACAAAACATGAACGTGATTCCGGTCAAAAACAGATCACTCGGATGTTTTATATAATGAGTATATGCCATCACTTCAGCTTGTACACAGAAATTAAATGTATTATCCTGAAAAACTTCTCCTCAGAGATTTTCCACATTACGGGATTCACGAAAACACACAAGACAAGAACTTGACGAACTTTTTTTAAATTTAGTTGGATAGAAACTTTGGGGATTGGCAACAGAGAAATGATTGGCAGCTGAGAAATGATTGGCAACAGAGAAATGATTGGCAGCTGAGAAATGATTGGCAGCTGAGAAATGATTGGCAGCTGAGAAATTAATCAATCAGGTAACCGGATCCAGACGTATTATTGAACTGACCAATCTTGGAGTGTTTTACTATACCGTTCTTAAGCTTCTCTTATACAGTTTTTCACGTCCACTCCGCTGTTTTCACTTACTGTACACTTTTAGCGCATCGTAAGCCATTTTGATGTACTTCACATTACATAATCGTCTTGTGCCAAAATGAATATAAAAAAGTTTTGAGGACAAACAGACGAATGGAGGGATGACAGTCTTACAGTACCCTTTCAGTGACGCCTTCAGTGGACTAATATAGTGATCTCTGACAAACACGGATTCATAAGAAAAAAAAAGAAATTTTAATCTATGCGTATATAAACCATTGCGTGCCAAGTGTAGTGCTGAGGAATATACGGCATTAATTAACACGACTTTTTTGGTGTATATCCAAGTATATTCCTATTGCCCTTTCTTCTTTTTTGGTACAACAATAGGAGGGGGTGGGGGAGGGGGAAGGAGGTGAAGGTACCTGACAAAGACTGCATGGGGTTAATACACATGACCACTTCAGCAGGTTAACCGTGGGGGCGTTGTAGACAGCACCTGACATTCCTCTCATACTTACCCAGAACTAGTGTGGGCCAGCTCTCCATTCTAGCTGAGAGCCCCTTCAGGAAGATCTGATGTAAGAAGAGCAACGTTTCTGAGTTGAGGAAGATACTGTTGACATCCTCGTGGGTACTGGGTGGCTTCTTGCTCGACGCCGCCATCTTGAAGGGTCGCAAGAAGCAAGACACCAAGAGGTTGAGTTGCTCCACGTATTCCTCTTCAGCCTCCACCATACGGAACACCAGGCTGAAGGAACACTTCTATTATTTACTACCAATACATCATACAGTAAAGTGAAGGCACAGTCACTCAAAAATCTGTCTGGACTTGGAGGAGTCGATGAATTTCAGAATGAACACTGCGATTCCTGTTGTCTCAGTGTGTCATATAATCTCAACTCATATTTGATGAGATAATTTTTTTTAGTGACTGTACAATGATATTACCATCATATTACGTACTGATCTTCTCTTTTACCTCCACCATAAGGAATAACAGACTGAAGGCAGACATATTGTTTACTATACTAATACATAAACAGAAACAATCTAGTGCAAACACATTGCCACCATCAACGCTTCAACTGAAAACTAAGGTATAATAAAAAGCCTCTGTGAATACCTATCAATATACTGATAACGGAGGCAAGAATTTAATAAGATGTTCGTACATATTACGTCGATGACATATTAACTTGACTCTCTCGTTGTGTTGTAACAAGACTACTGGTCCATGTCTCTTTACTATTACTGTACTTTTATCATAACTGGATTCGTGTTCAGGTCTTACGACACTCACGGAAAAAATTCGAATGCGATCACTTTGTCTAAGTTCTCAGAAGATATATAAATACAATAAATGCGGATTAAACGAAGGTCATACTCGAGAGAAGAGGCGCCTCGAGTGTTCACCACAGTGTTGGTGTAGAGGGTGAAGTTGTAGAGAGACAACTTCAACAACACGTATTTGGAAGTCCTGTAGTCTCGTGTGTGTGTGTGTGTGTGTGTGTGTGTGTGTGTGTGTGTGTAAAGACCAATACCAAAAAAAAAAAGTATTTAACTATCTCTTATTCTACATTGGTCTATTTTTAATATCCTAAGTCTTAATCCACACCAAGCTTGAAATCATATTAATGCCAAGAATAGAAGAAGAAAAAAAAAACGTCATTTGGGATTATTTAAATTAAGTATAGGCCTATTGCCCCCTGGCTCTCATAAGTTGCAGCCACCCGAACTATATTCACACACGGCAACTCACTCTTCTATGTTTACAGAGAGAAGAAACACAAGATAAAAATGACCAAACGGGCAAGAGGGAGAGATAGATCACAAGGATGTGTTAGAGAGAGAGAGAGAGAGAGAGAGAGAGAGAGAGAGAGAGAGAGGGGGGGGGGAGAGGGACAGAAAAACAGACAAACAAGATGAAAAGAACTTAAACAACACAGAAAGAGACTGGGGGGTATTTCTTCAATTATTCTGGGGGAAGGGAAGGGTCATGGATGGAAACTTGAGGTGAGGAGGAAAGTGTTTATTTTTAACTAGGGGAGGAAGAAGGGAGGGTGGGGGGAGGGAGGAGGGGCAGAGAGGTGTAGGGGGGGAGGAAAAGATAAAGAGAGAGAAGGAGGGGAGGATAGAGGGAGGTAAGGAGGAGGAGGTAAGGAGAGAGTGTCAAGGGGAGGGAAGGATGGAGGAGAGAAGGAAGGAGGGTAGAGGGTGGTAGGGAGGAGAGGGAGGTAAGGAGGGAGAGACAAATGAGGTAAGGAGGAGGGAAGTAGAGAGTGAGAGAAGGGAGAGAGAGATTGAGGAGAGGAGCGGAAGAGTTATTTATTACTTATATCACCCCAGCTTTAAACACTAAAAAAAAAAACCCAGATCCGACCAGTAGAAAATTCTATAATGTTTTTTATTTATTTTCCTCATAAGTCACTCAAACAAACTTCAAATATAACCAGTCCATTAAACACAACATATTACCTTATTAGTTTCTTCAGCACACACACACACACACACACACACACACACACACACATGCTACTAGAGGGGGGCTGCTAACCAGGCTGTGATTGTTAAGGCCATGGTAAGGTAGTAAGACTTCTGACTCACTCAACACCTGACCTGTTGACTTTTTGTAAAAAATCTACAGGATCATCGAAATTTAGCTATTCTCTCACCCCCCACCCCACCCCAACAGCTTATTTCACCTGATGATTAAATACCCTAAAGGTACTTGGGGGCGTTAGGATAGGTTAGGCTGGGTTAGGTTAGGCAGGGTTAGGTTATATTAAATTAGATTAACGTTGGTACTAGGTTAGATTAGATTGGGTTAACGTTAGACTAGATTAGGTTAGATTAGATTAGATTAGGTTAACATTAGATTAGGTTAAGTTAGGTTAGGTTAGCATTAGAAGGGAGCTTTAATCTTCACGTGGTCGGACTACACTACCCACCTCTCACCTTTGTTAACACCAGCCTTACCTGTTTCTCTTCCTCATACTCTCAGCATGGGGAGACCTGATGTACTCTTCGACGATCTGCTTCCACCGCCTGCGACACAGCCACCCTCGGAAGAAGCTCTGCACCTTCTTGATCTTCTTAATCTCCTCAGAATCCTCGGGAAGGTCCTCCAGTCTCCTTGAGGGCACCACACGCCACTCCTTCTTCAGCGTGCACAGCTGCCCAAACAAACAGGTGATGTATTACTTCTAAATAGGTCTCAATTTGGATTACTGTAGAGTAGAGGCGAAATAAAAATAAGTTACCAAGGTACTTTTAGGATTTAATGAATAAGTCCGAGGTGCCGTGTTCTGTTCCATCCATGAACCGTGAGACTCATGAACCTGTGAGTCCGAGACATCACACAGTGCACCATCTATGGACCCAAGAATGTGTGATGTCTCGGATTCACAGGTTCATGAGTCTCAGGGTTCATGGATGGGATGGGGGGGCTGACAGGAATTTTTTCCGCCACTGTATATTAACTTGTCTATTGTGGTCAAACAAAGGTGGTGGTTACAAAGAAACGGTGTAGCTGTGATGACTGGATATGAGGTACTTGTAGAAGAGGGTTCGTGATCATAATCTGGGCAGAGGTGGTGTGTTAACTTTGGGTACCAACCAGTGGGGAAAATCTATCATTTCACATTATCTTTTTTTATCATTATCAAGGTAACTTATGATTGTCTAATGAGTGGTGATTTAATAATTACTTTACTGTTGAATTGATACTTAGATATTGTGTGTGTGTGTGTGTGTGTGTGTGTGTGTGTGTGTGTGTGTGTGTGTGTGTGTGTGTGTGTGTGTAAAATATAGGAATTCACATACTATAAGGTTTCACCAAACACAGAATTTTCATAACTATTTAAAAAATATTTTTAAGAAGATAAGTATTGTGCATAAAGACACTGGCAGGTAAAACACCTAAATCTACAACTTACCTCAGCACGGAGTTTCTTGATCTCTGAGGTAAGTTCCTCACACTGCTGCGTATACTGCCACTTGGCTGTCTTCTCACTCTCTACTATCTGTAGCAGGTGCAGGTGCTTCTGTTCCAGCTCCTCCTTTTGTAGAAGCAGTTTGTTGAACGATGCTTGACGGATCACGTCTATCCAAGCCTTGCATTCACCTTCTGTCTCTGCTTTTAAGTCATACTGACGCTGGTTCTCGCGGCGGTACGTTATGGCAAAGCAGAACTGTTGGTGAAAAAGCGATTAAACATTATCTCTCAGCCTCCAAGACAAATGCACGACTAAATCAAGAAGGCAACAATGCTACCTGATGTTACTTATCAGCTGTCAACAAAGATGGACACAGTAATACCAAACATAAACACTCGGTAGGTAGTAGGCAGCTACCGTACAGGGAGGTACTACTGCCAAAGAAGATATTGGAAGCATAATGTGTTGTCTAATGGTAGACCCTGCTGCTATATGGCATCACGAAAATTTTTACCAATTCCCAGGTTGCTGATTTGACTTTCTGCCTCATTTACACACAATTGCAGTCTCAATTGTTTCTCTTACTTTGACAACACAACATACATATATCGTTTCTTACTAATGATTTTTTTAAATTGTTTATATAATTATGGTGCTTTATTATTAGTGTTAGTATTATTATTATTATTAAAAAAAATATTTATTTTTTATTAATTTTTATCTATTATTATTATTATTATTATTTTTATTATTATAATTATTATTATTATCATTATTATTATTAATATTATTATTATTAAAAAAATATTTACTTTTTTATTCATTTTTATTTATTATTATTACTATTATTATTATTATTATTATTATTATTATTATTATTATTATTATTATTATTATTATTATTATTAATATTATTATTATTATCGCCCCCAGGCCCTGATGTGGGCCATTGACCTGTGTCCAGGCGGGCTAATCCCCGTTAAGAAATGAATAAATAAATAAATGAAAATAAAATAATATATATATATATATATATATATATATATATATATATATATATATATATATATATATATATATATATATATATATATATATGCTGATAACCACAAGGAAAAAGAAAACACGAAGTTCCTGAGCGCTTTCGTATAATTCACATCTTCAGGGGTGAGTACAGACTAAGAAGAAGTAGCCCACTCATGACCATAAGAATCTCTTAGTATTACCATTTCACAAAAATTTCTCTCAAATTCCTTTACAACTAAAAACCTGGAACGCCAATGTTGCATTTAAAAACTCATGCACTGTAAAACAAATGTTAATCAAGAACTCCCAAACAATACAAATGGCTGTATTTATAAAGTCCCTTGCAATGAATGTAAAATGTTTTACTTAGGCCAGACAGGTAAAGATCTTGTAACTAGACTTAAACAGCATAAATATAGTGTTAGGACAGGCCAGGAATCCAATGCTCTGTTTGTTCATTTGAGGGATAATAAGCATTGCATTGACTGGGATAATGCCTCCTCAATATTACCATGTACTTCAATTGACAGTAGGAACATCATAGAATCTAGTCTCATTAAACATACCGAATCCGTCAACATGAATTTAAGTAATGGTATGTACAAATTGGATAATTTCGTAATAGAAGATTTGTAACCAGGTGAAGGTTGTGGCAGCACCCTCTGACCTGACTACCTACACTGCGGTGCTTTTGTGAAGATTAGTAGGGTCATTACCTATACCGGACCACTTAGGACTTGATCCCTCCTCTGTATATATATATATATATATATATATATATATATATATATATATATATATATATATATATATATATATATATATATATATATATATATATATATATATATATATATATAAAACATGTTATGTATTTCTCCTTAGTCTGTACTCACCCCTGAAGATGTGAATTACGCGAAAGCGCTAGGGAACTTCGTGTTTTCTTTTTTCCTTGTGGTTATCAGTATATACCTGGATCACGTGCACCTACAGTGATTTACTTGCTTATATATATATATATATATATATATATATATATATATATATATATATATATATATATATATATATATATATATATATATATATATATATACATAATGTATATATTGTATTTTAAGTTAATCTTCTTACCTGTTTTTCAGTGTCCTTGTTCTTGGTGTTGGTATTGGTAGTAATGAGACGTTCACAGTAGCAGCCCTCCAACATGATCACACCAGATGGTTTCACACTCGCCTCTCCCTCTGAGTAGAACAACAGATTCTGCCAGGAAGATAGACCAAGTGCCACATGAGGTCCCAAAGCAACTGTGGTTCTCAGAGGAAACGGTAGTACTGTATGTAATGTGAGAGAATCGATTAGAATGTTGAGACTTCTCAGAGTACTACAAAGACAGCAAGATGTTCTGACCTCACTGGGGGAAAGGTCATGGCAGGGTTAGCTCCCGAGGGGTAATTATCAGATATGGCCAGTGCTATGTGCGGTCTTGGGTATGTGAGTTTGTTGACCAAACTGGAGTGGTCCATGGAAGAATTGGCGAGGGCCAAGGAAGAAATTGAGAGGACCACGTTGGAGAACCTGAAATTAAAGGAAGAGCTGGCGAAATTAAAAAGGGAGCCAGTGTCTGACGAAAACTCAAGCGAGTGGAAGGTGGTGAGTAGTGGGAAGACGAAGCTGGTGGTGAAGAAGTACACCAAGGATACGACAACAACGACAACAACAGCTAAGTGTACCAACCCGTTCAGTCCCTTGATAGACGAATTGGACGTTAGTACAGTCAGGGACAGGGATGACAAGGAAGGTATAAAAACTTTAATTGTTGGTGACTCACAGGTAAGGTACATGGACAGGGCCTTTTGTGGTAAAAACAAAAATAGGATGAGGGTGTGTTTGCCAGGAGCTGGGTGGGGGATATAGTTGACAGGATGGACAATATCTTGTCTGGTAATGGGAACAAACCCATTATCTGCCTCAGTGCAGGAGGCAATGATATTGGCCGGTGTAGGAGCGAGGAGCTTTTTGATAAGTTCAAGGCAGCTGTAGATCGTATTAGGTCTAAGGGAGGGATCCCTATCATATGAGGTGTCCTGCATAGAAAGAGAGTTGGCAGTGAATGGTTGTCAAGGGCAGTTGGTGTCAACGACCGTCTTGGCAGATATTGCAAGTCAATATCAGTCCCATTCATTGACAACTGGGACAACTTCTATGGCAGAAGGGACCCTTATGCTAGGGATGGGGTGCACCTGTCTAGGGATGGAGTAGCAACCCTGGCTGGAGCTCTAGAGGGGGCAGTTCAAAAGATATCGAAGTCTTTAAACTGCTAGGAGAACATACGAGCATGGGGGTGGAGGAGACTGCAGTGGGAGAGGGTAAACAAAGTGAAAGATTACAGGGAAATAGTGTTAGGAATGATGACAAAACTAAATTAGACAGGGAGTTTAAAACTAAACGCGGTAAAGGGAGGACTCAGAACACGACTAACTTAAATGTATACTATGCGAACAGTAGAAGTATGAGAAACAAAATGGATGATATTAGGGCGTTGGTATGTACCGAAAAAATCGATATAATAGCATTCACTGAAACATGGTTCAGCCTAGACACACGTGAGTTACCAGTCGAATACCAAATTGCGGGTTACAAACTGTTTCATACCGATAGGCAGACCAGGAAAGGAGGCGGAGTAGCAATCTATGTTAGGGATAATCTGAAGTGTGAAATAAATAAGGAAATAAAAACTGAGCGGAATACAGAAACAATTTGGATAGAATTAATCGACGGTAGGGAAAAATTAATCACAGGAGTAATATATAGACCTCCCAATCTTGATAGAGTCAATGAGCGACTTATCTGGGATGAAATGCGCAGGGCTTCCATACACAACAAAGTCTGTATAGTAGGCGACTTTAACCTTGGCCAAATAGATTGGACTGACCTTACAGGTAACTCAGAATCAGAGGATTTTCTTGAGACGATCCAGGACTGTTTTCTAAGTCAACATATAACCGAACCCACAAGGGGTAGTAATATACTCGATTGAGTTCTGTCAAACAGAGAAAACCTCATTAGCAGTGTCGAGGTAGGGAACGAACTTGCAAACAGAGATCACAAAGAAATTAGATTCCAGTTTGATTTTCAGGGCAGACGTAAGGAAAATTCCACTAAAGTACCAGATTTCAGAAGGGCGAACTTTGACAGTTTAAAGAGGCAGCTGAGAGAGGGGGTGTCGCGCTTGGCCGTGAACCTGACAGATGACACGGACCTGATAACGAGATCTGAGATTGCCGAGTTCCACGACAATTTAAATAGTGAGTTACTTAATGCACAAAGGCAGAACATACCATACAAAAAACTCAGATCAGACAACAATGACCCTAAATGGATAAATAATTATTTAAAGAACATCATTGGCCAAAGGAAGGCTATAGGTAGAAGGATAAATCGTGGCGAAATTCACCTCCGGGACTATTATAGGGTATTGGCGAGTAGGGTTAAAACCGAGATAAGGAAAGCAAAGAGGAATAATGAGGTAAGGATAGCAAGGGAGGCGAAGACAACCCCCAAAGGATTCTATCAAATGTATCAAACTAAAACACAAGAAAGGATTGGACCAATACGGTCAGACACCGGCGAGCTCACTGATAACGACAGAGAAATGAGCAATAATTTGAATAAATATTTTTCAACAGTTTTCACCACCGAAAATTTAAACATGATACCCGAGGCACAGACTCTATTCAGAGATAGTGAAGAAAACAAATTAAGCGAGATAGTAGTGACTAGTAACGATGTTAGTAAGCAAATAGACAAACTAAAGCCTAATAAGTCACCTGGTCCCGATGAGATATTTGCCAGAGTATTAAAGGAATGTAAGGAAGAGCTTAGTATGCCCTTAGCAAAGTTGTTTAACATGTCCTTAAAAACAGGTGTAGTACCAGAATCCTGGAGGATAGCGAATGTAATACCGATTTTCAAGAAGGGGATAGATCACTATCCTCTAACTACCGCCCAATCAGTCTAACATCAATAGTAGGCAAATTACTGGAAGCAATCATTTCAAACTCTATTCGAAATCACCTGGAGAAGCACAGATTGATCAATGATTCCCAGCATGGCTTCACAAGCGGACGTTCTTGTCTAACTAATCTATTAACATTCTTTTCATCAGTTTTCGAATCGATGGATGAGGGGCACATTTATGATGTGGTATATCTCGACTTTAGCAAAGCCTTCGACAGAGTCCCCCACGAAAGACTAATTAGAAAGGTAGAAGCTCATGGCATCAAAGGTAACATCCTTAAATGGATTAGGGCGTGGTTACAGGACAGGAAACAGAGAGTGAGCATTAACGGCATTAAGTCCCATTGGAGCAACGTCACAAGTGGAGTTCCCCAAGGCTCAGTACTTGGACCATTATTATTTATTATATACATAAACGACATAGATATCGGCATAGACAGCAACATAAGTAAATTTGCTGATGACACTAAAATAGGAAGTGTTATTAAATCTGACGAGGACTCAGCAAAACTACAGGAAGATCTAAACAAATTTTTCGAATGGTCTGAAAAATGTCAGATGAAATTCAACGTGGACAAATGTAAAGTACTCAGTATAGGAGATGTAAACAGGGAAACCAGATACCAGATGAACAACGATGCCATAGAGAAATCCGACTGCGAGAGAGATTTAGGAGTAATGATAAGTAGGAACCTTAAGCCAACTAAACAATGTGTTTTTGCTCGTAACAAGGCTAATAAAGTACTTGGGTTCATACAAAGGAGCGTTAGTTAGAAGACTAGCGAGGTCATCCTAAAACTGTATCTTGCTCTTGTGAGACCACACCTGGATTACGCAGTTCAGTTCTGGTCACCGTATTACAAAATGGATATAGAATCCTTGGAAAGAATTCAGAGGAGAATGACAAGACTAATCCCGGGCATTAGGAACCTTGAGTATAGACACAGGTTAAAGCATCTTAATTTGCACTCCCTCGAGAGACGTAGAGCGAGGGGCGACCTGATAGAGGTGTATAAGTGGAAGGCAGGGCTAAACAAAGGGGACATTACAAAGGTACTCAAACTATCCAACCAGGAGCGAACTCGTAACAATGGTTTTAAATTAGACAAATTTAGATTTAGGCGTGAAATAGGTAAACACTGGTTTGGAAACAGAGTAGTGGATGAATGGAACAAGTTACCAAATATCATCATTAACTCGAATACGCTGAATAGCTTCAAACATAGGTTGGATGCTTATATGAGCAATAGGGTTTGGGTGTAAACGGGACTGCCCAGTTTGGGCCAATAGGCCCGCTGCAGATTCCTCCATTCTTATGTTCTTATGTTCTTAATCCCACAAGTCCTTTCCTCAAACTATTCAAATGAAGCTAAGGACACAACCCATTTTTTAACTTTATTTCAAGCACTATTAATGAAGGAAGGTGGAATCTACAGGCAAGCTCTCAAGTTGACTAAATGTATTGCAAGAAAAGAGACTCTACCATACGCTATTACGAAGAGTCAAAAAGGCGTAGAGAAATATGAAGAGAAGAAAGAAAATGCTGCTACAGAAGATGGTACGACATGAACTACTACAGGCGTGTTGGGTGGAGACAAGTGGAGATGATTGAGGCCAGGTTAGGGAGACAAGGGAGGTCAGTCTTAAGAACACTTGATATGGAGGTTGAAGGAACAAGTTTCACGTCAATACTATCAAGAAGAAGAGGGATGGAACTGTGAACACCCATATGTTTTCGCCCACCGTCCACCCAACTGTTAAGGGGTGCCTGACTTTACAGTTGAGGAAATGGAGGTAATCAAATGTAGTGCCGGCCACACTACCTCCTTGCGCACCGAAGACTAGGTTAAATAAGTAATATCATCGTACATCACGGTAGTGGATGTATTGAGTGGTGGTGGCGGTGCGGGAGTGACTACCATGATGGTACATCGACCCCTGTGTGTGTACACCCTCACATCAGCGCCCGCACCACTCACCAGGTTGTGACATATACACACACATACACGTTTTCGTTTATGCGTGCACACATACACACACACACACACATACACACACACACATATATATATATATATATATATATATATATATATATATATATATATATATATATATATATATATATATATATATATATATATATATATATATATATGTCGTGTGAGAGATGGACGACTTACAGATTAGATCCTTGGTTGAGAATCCAGTAAATCGTTTTTTTCCTCTACCATCCGTTTATAATTTAACTCTACGACTCCTGACTTTAAAATCGATGATATGGTGTGGCTGTCACTCTCACACCAGGGGTCACACCATGTATTACCACACCACCTTTATATACCCCCAAAAATCACCATTTACAAATTTAATCACATTCCTCCTCTTACCTCTCCACGTCACACACACACACACACACACACACTTATGTCACTTGTATATTATTTGTAATTCGTAACCCATTCCCCAAATATGTAACTGTATATTTTCAGCCTTCTGGCTGCCAAGCTCTTTCAATAAACCGTTAATTATTATTATTATTATTATTATTACACACACACACACACACACACAGCATCACACTAGTTATTGGTCGAAACAGAGAGAGGCTGAAGACTGCAGTACTTCCGGCTTTGAATATGAAGTATGCAATGATTTTGAGTTCGTGTGTGATGCCTAAAGGAACTCTGGACCACTCTCGATTCACAACACATACTGGAAGGGTGATTCTTCAACTTGTCATAGCCTCATATTACACCAGTGGAACCTTCTGATGGCGAGCAATATACATAGTCACTGGAAATAATGCCAATATATTGAAACCAAACCCTATAAAACCTGGGTATTCTTTTTTGATGATTGCATATGTTGTGACCAGTGTTTAGTATGACAATTAGCCAACGAGACCTCAGATATTACTAATTAGGAAAGATTGTCATTCACGTCACCTTAAACAACCTAGTCAAGGATCAACTGTGTTTGAAAATGACGTTTTGACTACAACGAAGGGATGATTTACTACGGGGTCTTGAAATGATGGCGTGTTGAACCAATAACGTTATCTTGATGGAACTTGAAGACACACAGTACCTGACAAGATCTCTAGTTAATTAGGTGTTGAAGGCCCGTACACCTGAGGTCAAAATTAGCTCTTTATTCACCTCCATATTGTTCTTGTGATAACTTCTGAATCAATGGTCGTATCTTGTTGAAACTTTTTCCACACAGACTATAGGATGGAGTCTTGTGTTGATTAAAGTTTCATGGTCACTGAAAGTCTTCCTAAACAGCTGCTTGAGGAATATCCGATCTTAATATATATATATATATATATATATATATATATATATATATATATATATATATATATATATATATATATATATATATATATATATATATTATACTTATTCTTTTTTTTCTTCAACCTCCTTTCCTCTCACCTTTCTCTTTCCCTGTCTTTCTCCACCCTCTTTTCTTTTCATCTATCCCCCTCCCTTTTTTTCCTCTTTCCTTCCCTATCTTCCCCCTCCCCCCACCCTATTTCCCTCTCCCTCCACGGTTCCTTCCCTCTTCTTTCATCCTCCTTCTCTTTTACTAGTTAAGTCTGATATGTAACAGCTTTTGCCACCTACTACCTCTTTTAAAGAAACTGAGAGAATCAAAGACGATATGCGTATAATAGTGTTTGTGAGAGAATAAGACGGTACAGTACCTGGTAGAGTGTGAACCATCTAATCTGCCACTTGTTGGAGTCCGATGAGCGCTTGTAGAGGTAGCCAGAATAGTTGTGGTCATGGCGCGCCTTCTCGGCCAACATCAGGACCTGGTTCTCGTTGATCCTGATGGTGCGCTGCATCTTAGGACTTAGCATCTTGACGGTATACGTGATGGTGGTGGTGGTGGGACTGGTGCTGGAGGTCCCGCTGGTACTGGAGGCGCTACTGGCAGCGGCAGGAGTCTTACTTGTGCGTCTGCTTAAGGCGGAGGATGAGGTGGTTGTGGTAGTAGCGGTGGTGAGTGTTGAGTTAGAGGTGGTGGACCCCTGAGCGCGGCGGGACGCCCAGAAAACTTGATAGGCCTTATGTCACATGGTCGGATGTTGGGCTACCTGAGAAAGCTTTCAATAGAATGACAGGTAGAACGATGGCTACCTGTCCGTTCTTCAACTTTACACAAGCGAGTGTTCGTTAATCCTCCCAGTAAAATCTGCTTTACTATATCCAGCTTGAGTAGTAGTAATCTCAGTTACACTTTGACAAGTTTTGTCTTTCATGTAAAACTTAGCTCACGGGAGTTCAAAATCACAAAGGGGTAAGAGAGCTTGAGGATATTCATAATTACAGTTCTCAGAAAGTATGATTAAAACATTGGTCATTCCGAGGGTTGCTTATCCTCAGTTGATATGTTAAGCTTTGGAGCTTGGCGAGGCCCCAAACAACCATGCTATCTCAAACTAATTATTCAAGTGACTTTGAATTTGATTACAAAAAGATAGGAATTGTATCACTTCATGTCATGTAAGAAACATATGTTACAAAACAGTTATCTAAACAATAATCTAAGTGTAGGTCAGCAGGTATTGGTCCACACGAGCACACATGGATGAACATGTGTTTGCTCCTCTAGGCAGACTGCTGTCACTCTTGATTGTGTGCGGCGCAGCTCTTCCCATTACCGCTGCTGTTAACAAACGTTAAACATAAAAAAAAAAATTAACGACGCCTACAGTATGTGAACAGCTTCGAGCAGGGGTAAATATTACTCCTGGAGTCAGGTGCAGGGAGGGTAGATCTTTGTTATCTGCTGCACAACAGGATGATGCACCTTCTTAGTTACTTGAGGCGACACACATGTGAGGCAACAAGAGCAGCAGCTCGCCTGGGAGACACTTCCGCCCTGGTAACCTGGATTGCCGTCCACCTGTTGTGTCCCGGGACACGCTCACCTCCTCCTCTGTTAAGATACAAAGTAAGTTACATTTATGAAAACAATAGTTTTATCATGTTACACAATATCTATCTATCTATCTGTCTGTCTATCTATATATCTATCTATCTATCTGTCTATCCATCTATCCATCCATCCATCCCTCCATCCATCTGTGAGTGTCTGTCTGTCTGTCTGTTCCAGCCATGCCATAGCTCCAAAACAGAGGAGTTAGAGACCTGAAACTTTACACGCATATTACATGGGTCCCAAGGTTGTGCACCTTAGTATTACTATTGACCACGGACTCCCGGGTGGTCCGGAAAAGAACCAAAAATCTTCACCGACTGAGATATCACCACGGCGATTGTGGGAGGTAGTTACCCGTGTCAGGGAGGACTAACTGTGATAGTCAATGCTATACAGTATATACATAACCCGAAATTTTAGCATTATTGTTTTACAAAATATATTATTAATCATTACCTCACTACACAAGATAAATAAATCAACCCTAAGTACAGTTTCTTTATATTTTAGACCTCAATACAATCGATGTATAATTCCAACCACGGTGTATAATTTGAAGTCAATATTTAATACAAATTTAATAAAAACCGATGTATATTCTCACACTCCTTCACCCAATCTATAATTCCGACCTGGAGCTGTGTTGTCGACCTCACTAACAAGATCACACCTTCACTAAACTCTATATATATTTCGAACAGTTTAGACCTCTTTATAGAATTATAATGTGATATAAATTACAACTCCCACAGTCGATATATAATCATTAAAGTTTATTAATTCGGAGAAGAATTATAAGAATAATATGAGTTTCCTCAAGAGAGTTATCTTTCACGTCAGTCAGCTGGTGGTAGTGGGTGTGGTGATGCAGCTCTCCACTCATACTACTGTTACCTGCAGGATGCTAACTCACTGTGTTCTACCATCAATAACTATAGATGACACTTCATCCTCCATGGATTCAAGTCAACTGCTTGTGGGAACATAATCTGAACCCTTTCACATATTATAACAAGTACAGTAGGTTTTAACAAATGACCCACTCTCGTTTTTCGCGCGCACGCGCGCGCGCGTGTGTGTGTGTGTGTGTGATAACACGAAACACACTCATAACACCATCAAAGAGAGAGAGAGATAGTGACAAAGATAAAGACAGATAGAGACATAAAGATAAAGAGAGACAGAGACAGAATTCACATCTATTCTGAGGTGATTCTCTTTTTTTCTCTCGTAATAAGTTAACTATGTTAGGTTAATATTTTTCTCCCGGTCGTATGGTATAGAAGAGTTAATTGTTAGCGCGGAGGGAACCATAAATTTCGAGGTGTCGGGTTCGATCACCGTCTAGGGCTGAGGTTTCATGGTTTAGGGACCTTGACCAAGTAGTTTCCACACACCGCAGGCAGGATGTGAAGAGTAGTAAATTACTTTCTTCTTCTTTTGTTTTCTTCTCTATTGTTAACTTTAAGGGAGGTTAGTTTAGCTTAGATTAAGGTAGGTTAAGTTAGCGTTAATATGGTTAATGTGCAGTTGAAATTAAGCTAGGAAGAGAGGGGGTGTAATGATAGTCTTCAAGTGATCCATTTCTTAATACTACACCATACTCTGAGGCTAATCTACACGGGAGCGATGAGGGTGGTGATGGTAGGTCTGTTTTCAGGGCCAGAGAGCGAACACCCCTCAAGCTGAAACCTTTACATAATAATTACAAACACACACACACACACGATACTACTTTGCTGTCACTCGGAATCGAGCATGAAAATCATCCAGCTATGATACAATGATTGACATGAGTTATTAGGGATGTCACCTTCATTGGTGAGTTTTGAAGTGACTAAAGTGGCTGATACGGGATCGGCAAAGTTGTTTACAGATGTTGCTCATGTGGAGGGCTACATCGAGTGCGGGAGGGGCAATGGCAGCGTCTTTCCGGCGTTGGCGCTTGTCTGCATCCGTTTGCAGTCGGGCTAACTCGAAAGAATTGACACCTTCTCGTGTGGTGCTCCTCCAAGCGTTACGATGTGGAGTAATCGACTCCCAGGTGATGGGGTCGACTTGGCACTTTTTTATGCTTGTCTTAAGACTATCCTTATACCTTTTCAGATACCCGCCGGCGTTACGTTTACAATTCATTGGGTGAGTGCAAAGTAACTGCTTTGGCCGTCTACTGTCGTCTATGCGGGTAAGATTGCCAGTCCAGCGTAGATGTTCGTGGATAATGGTAGCCTCGATGCTCCTACAGTTGGTGTCAGCAAGAATGCTGGCATTTGTTCTCTTGTCTTCCCAGCGAACTCGGAGGATGGAACGTAGACTACGTTGGTGAAAGTTTTCGAGTGCCTTGAGGTGCCTCCTGTATGTGACCCATGTCTCGCAGCCATATAGCAAGGTGGGAAGAACCACTGCTCGATATACGTGCAACTTTGTACATAATTTCAGCTCCCTAAAGCTGAAGACACGGTTTCGGAGTCTGCCAAAGGCTTTAGATGCACATCTCATCCGATGCTGAATTTCTTCATCAAAGTCCGCGGTGGTGGACAGGTGGGAGCCGAGATACTGAAAGTGGGTAACATTAGAGAGGGTAATACCATTAAGCTGGATGGATGGTGGAGGTGTGGCTGAACCAGGCGCAGGTTGAAAGAGAATCTGAGTCTTACGTACATTCACCTCAAGGCCGAAGTGTGCTTATGCATCTGCGTAGGTGTTCAGGATCTCCTGTAGGTCGCGTTCAGTGTGAGCAACAAGAGTAAGGTCGTCTGCAGACTGAAGTTCAGCAATGGAAGCTGCCGACACCTTTGTTATTACTTGGAATCGTCTTACGTTGAAAAGACCCTTCATCCGGTACTGGATTTCCTCCCTGCCGGCTAAATTGGCACTGGCATGAGTAAGGAAGGCAGCCAAGAAAATGGAAAAGATAGTCGGTGCCAGTACACACCCTTGTTTAACCCCCATTTGGGCGGGGGAAAAGTCAGACTGGGTGCCATTGTGCAGGACACTGCCGTTCATGCTATCATGGAGTTGCCTCACAATGGCGATGAATTTTGGTGGTCAGCCAAAACGGCTGAGTGTCCACCAGAGGACTTCCCTGTTGACAGAGTCGAAGGCCTTGGTTAGGTCGATGAAAGCCATGTACAGGTCACGAAGCTGTTCTCTGCACTTTTCCTGTATCAGGCGGGCAGCAAAGATCATGTCAGTGGTGCCACGTGATGGTCTAAAGCCACATTGGGATTCTGGGAGGAAGTTTTCCGCCTCAGGAAGAAGTCTGTTCAGGAGAACTCGGGCGATAATCTTGCCAGCTACGGACAGCAGCGAGATCTCACAGTAGTTGTCACAGTCTGGCCAGTCTCCCTTGTTCTTATAAATATTGACGATGGTGGCGTCTTTAAGAGCTTGGGGCATTTCCTCCTTTTTCCATTCTCCAGGAAAGAGTGGAGACAGCTGGTATGCAGAGGTCCTTCTGCCTTATACTCCTCGGCTGGGATTCCATCAGGCCCAGAGGCTTTGTTATTTTTCATCTGTTTGATGGCAGTAGCTACCTCATCCAGGGATGGAGGATAGCTGAAGTGGGTCAGTTCTGAATGATGAGGGACCTGCTGGTTAGTCAGGACATCCACATCAATGTTTCGGTTGAGCAGTGAATGGTAGTGCTCTTTCCAGCGCTGAAGGAGGCCTTCATTGTCTTTAATTATGGAGTTACCATCGGATGAGCGGAGGGGGGCTGCGCCACGAGTGATTGGCCCATATAATGTTTTAGTGGAATTGAAAAATTTGCGCATCTTGTGCTGATCTGCAATTTTTTGTGTTTAACAAGCTTTATTTTTAAACCAGTCATTCTTTAGATTGCGAAGTTCCCGCTGGGCTGATGCTTTCTTCTTGCAGAAGGTATCAGCTTTGGTCCGAGACTGAGGGTTGTTCTGCCAGTCAGTTAAAGCAGCACGTTTATCATTGATGAGTACATTGATTTCCGGGTCATTTTCTTCACACACACACACACACACACACACACACACACACACACACGCATACACACACACACACATACACACACCACCAAAAAATTATGATTACCCTCCAAAAATGTCCTGGCCTTTGCCCGAGTCTCTTATGTTGGGTAGACTACAGAGGATAGCTTTTGAAAGATTGAGTGAATGTGTCAAACGTAGATAAGAAATGGTAGATCTTTCATCAGGAGAAAATGTAATATTCACAAGACGAGAATTAGCCGGGCAGGAGCGACACTGTCCTCACGTGACAGACTCATTACACACCACCAGTTATCGACTGGCACTCCGGCTGCCTTACCTTCTCTTAGTCACACGCACAAACTACATCAACCACATAAATGTTGGGAGCTCAGGATAATCGAGTGGATCAGATATTTAATATTAAAGTTAAATTTCCACAATATGTAAATAATTTTTACCTCATTAGAAATTATATTCTTATCATTCTTGCCTGTTGAAACCTAGCGGTGATTACTTAATTTTAAGATGATTCTCTATATATATATATATATATATATATATATATATATATATATATATATATATATATATATATATATATATATATATATATATATATTTCATGTAGATCCACAATGAAAACGTGGATAAGATAAATCTTGATAAAATCACACGGGAAAAGGGAAACAACGGAGCACCTTAGCTTTCGTCTTCGTCTTGAATAAAGACGAAAGCTAAGGTGCTCCGTTGTTTCCCGTGTATTATATATATATATATATATATATATATATATAGATGTGAATTACAGCGCTTGGGAACTTCGTGTTTTCTTCTTTCCTTGTGGTTATCAGCATATGCCTAGATCACGCGCACCTACAGTGATTTACTTGCATATATATATATATATATATATATATATATATATATATATATATATATATATATATATATATATATATATATATATATTTCACTTGTGTAAACATGTCATTAATGAGCATTTTGTTAACACGTTAAACTACGAGCATTATT